GTACGTAGAGTGTGTGTAGACTGACCCCGGTGGCTAAGCACCAGCCGTGGACCATGCCTCGAGCAGCAACGGTGAGGGTAAGAGAGCCGGAGGGCAGTAACCCTCCCCCGAGTACGGGGGCGGAGAGCCTCGGATCTCAAGGGAGCGGGGAGACGGAGGGCAGCATCCCCGACACCTACACACTCTACATACAAATAGAGCCAGTAGTATCTGCACACATTGGGGTGGAAGGTTCCATAGTTCAATTTATTTGGTATAGCCCTGTGAGCCATTCGGCTCTTGAATCGGGTGCAACCGTAACAAACAAAAAATAAAAATAATATATTTTACAATCACACAAGAAAACGCAAATGTACATCTTTAATATTACAGCTTCCGTCCTAGGACGGGCAAACAAGCTAGTTTTTTTTAAGGTTAAGTGGATCCAAAAGGGCTTGCTTGACTTTAAGCGATAACGAAGGATGTTACTGAGGTCCCCATGAATGGGAAGGCAACTGTTTATTATATTAATCCCCCCCTCCCCTCTGATCTTTGCACCTGATTGGCTCACAAGTGACAACATCACATTTATCCCTCTATTTAAGACATACACAGGAGGATTTTCCCACAATTCTGGCTGTCGCTTGATGAGGCTGGTTGTAAATGTTGTGGGCTACTAATGCCAATTGTAATTGGCATGTTTTGTTTACGTGGCAAACCTTACTAATTGGCTGTGTCGGGTGGTGGTGGGTTTAACGACAGTTATATTGTATTATCAATGTAACATGTGTGCAAGCACGCTTAGTGTTTTTAGTATTTACTGCTGGATGAAGGCCTCCCCGTGACGCGTGAGTCATGGGGGTTGTTTGGCCATATTTTGCCATTCAGATTAATTCCTACGATTTTATAATTGAGATATTTCATCCGGGAAATGTTTTTGATAATGTTGCGCTCCTGAGATAGGGTTTACCACCTGTAAAATTAAATTTGTGTTTGGGTGGGAGGAATATATTTGTACTGAAATGTGGTGGTGGCAGGCTGTACAAAGATGTAGGAGTTCGTCCGACATCACTTCTCTAGTTAGTGCCCAGAGCGCTCCCTCCCTCCTCCCCATCTCAGCAGCGCGGCCTTGCTGGCTTTCAGGGTCAACTGCAAGTTCCCCTCGGTAAGGTGATGCTCAGGTAAAAAGCTCTATGAACACGGGGAGGGGAGTAGATGGGGGGAGGGGGGGCAAAGCTCTGACTATCCTGACTGTGAATGCAAGTGCGTGATGTCGAACCGCACCCTCTTTTACAGGTACAACACCTGGGGTGTGGGTTGGCCTTCCAAGATAAATGTCTCTCTGCTCGTCAAACCCGTTTGGCGAGATATACTGCAGATTATTTAATGTTGTGGATGCTGCCAAGGTGTAAAACAAAAATTAGTTATGAAGGACTAACTCCTAATGTGCTGCTGGAACTCAGGTTTCCTACCAAGTACAAACAAAGACTTAAAAGGAATTAAATAAATAAATATTATGGTAACTAACGAAGCGGTTTTGCGTGTTAACGGCAAAATGAATCGGTACAATACAACGCGTGTGTAACCATGCCGGTTATTTTTTATAGCCCATTGTCAATCCGCTGCTGGATCAGGGCCTCCCCATTACGTGTAAGTCATGGGGTTTGTTAGAACATACTTCAATACTTTTGTCAGTTTAATTAAATGCTTTGGATTCAAATGTTTCACCTGGGAAATTATTTGGATTATTTCGTGCTCGTGTGAGATAGAGTTTCTACCTGAGAAATCAAAACTGCGCTGGGTGGTAGGCATTCATGTGTACTGAGACCTGGTTGTATTCTGTTGTACTTTGTCACAGTACACTGCACAGTGTTGATAGACTGCCTGAGAAGGATGTCCCGGCTTGGTCTACAGTGGAAAAGGTGGTAACCACATCTTTACCCCAGATAATCAATCGTGCTCTAGTGTTGTTCCCGTTGTGTTGCAATGTGCACTTATGCCTACTTTATTGAGGGCGATATTGGCACATAAAATACAGATTGATTGAATCGAGTTAACCATGTATGAATGTCTTGGGGACTACAGTACTGCAGTTTAGTCGCTCGTGCGACGTAGTTCTGGTCACTCAATCGCGTTATATCCAATGCACATCCGCGTTATAAAAATGTGTTCTGTAATAAATTCATCACGTTAGATTCAATTCGCGTTATGAAGACGCGTCATAGGAGAACAGACTGTATGCTGAACATACTTCACAAGAGCTTTCTCCAGTATGCATGGGACTCTGCGGACACTTCTGTTTCCTACCAAATGCAAAAAACGTAAAGGAATTGGATGAACATTAAATGTGGCCACTCATGAAACCGTTTTGCACGTGGCATTGGCAATGTGAATTGGTACAATGGAACACGTATATAAACATGGTGGGTTTTTTTTACAGGCCATTGTCAATCCACTGTTGGATGAAGGCCTACCCGTTACGTGTGGGTCATGGGGGTTGTTTGACCAGACTTCGCCACTTTAGTCAGTTTCATGACTTATTTATTGAAAATTTCACCTGGAACACTCCTTGAGATGGAACCTCCCTTGAGATGGAACCTCTCGTTTGTATGGCTGCCCAGGATTTGGATTGACACATATATAGCAAACACGTTATGGGACGTGTACATACGTTTTCAATCTATAACGTATACCATTTGCACTCTATTTTATTCGACTAGTCTTATCAAGGCATTATAATGAAAGTGACAGCCAAAAGTTAATGTCAAAGCAGTTTTAGAACTTGTAAAATTACAAAAAAACCCACAAAGGTGCATACTTCATTAGCTTGCCCACACCACTCCTGGCTAAAGAGCCCCAAATGGAGAGAGGCTCTTGTGGGTGTTTTGTCTACTCTCCCACGTTAAACCAGACGTGTTGGAAGAGGTGGGTGTACCCATGGGCGGAGTTTGGGGGGAGGGGGCACGGGGGTGGGGGGGGCAAAGCTCCGCCCAAACTGGGCAGCTTAATGCATTTTCATTAGTTTACAATTCAGATAAAGAAATTAATTATTTGTATGCACGATTCCTAATGTGAGGGATAAAGCGAACCCCTGCACCCCCCCCCCCAAATATAGAAGTCAAACTCACCCTGCCAAATCGACTGACCTGTAGTGTACCATTTATACTGCTGGGTGGATTAGAGGTGGAAGAGTTACGAACTTTGTTGATCTCTGTAATGCGAGTCAAGTGTGATTACTGTTACATTGCAGCAGCATTTTTGCTGTGGGTTATTTTAATTCGTTGGTCGGTATGCTCTCAAAGCATTTCACATGAGCACCCTACGTCCGTGTACAGTGCCCTGTACTTTCCAACAAAGGTTGAGGGAAAGAAACAGTTTTGAAATGTGCTCAGTTGAATGCTATTTTTGTTCAACCAAACAAAAGAAGCAGTAGATGCCGTATAGATCATAATGACACCGCCAAGGGTGTGCATGGGACGGCGCAGTCGTCCTTAATAGGCTTTCACCAAAATAAATGGTTCTGAAAAAAGGGAGTTGCAGTGATATTTATATTCAACGTCTAACCCTATCGCAGCTTCACCTCCGACTCAGCCACTGAGTGCCAACATTCACCTCCCTGCGTCACCGTCCATGTTCGGTCGAATTTAGCGTGGACTGTGGAGAGGTTGGCGCCTTATATACGTACGGTGCCAAAGAAGTTCAATATACATAAAAATAACGGGATAATGTCAAGAAGTGCACGCTCCGACCACCTGTTTGTCAGAAAGTGCACGCTGTGTCAAGAAGCCACGCAAGCGCGTGCACTTCTTGACATTATCCCCGCGCTTGATCGTTCGACGAGTCGGACTTGTACGCGTGTGTGGTGCATGTGTGGTGCTTGTGTGTGTGGTGTGGTGTGTGTGTGTGTGGTGTGTGTGTGTGGTGCATGTGTGTGTGTGGTGCATGTGTGGTGCGTGTGTGTGTGTGTTGTGCGTGTGTGTGTGTGGTGCGTGTGTGTGTGTGGGGTGTGGTGCATGTGTTGTGCGTGTGTGTGTTGTGTGTGTGCGGTGCATGTGTGTGAGGTGCGTGTATGTGTGGTGCGTGTGTGTGTGATTAAAAAGCAGAAATTCTCTTCCCAGAAATGAGAGAGGCTCTCCTCCCACATGCGACCTCCGAGCGAACGGGCGAGTCGACGTTTGTTTTGACGGCCTTCTTGGGAAAACATCTCCCACGCCCTGTCTACTACAACCCAGACACACACACATGCACCACACACACAGGCACCACACACACGCACAACACACACATGCACCACACACACCACACACGCACCATACACACACGCACCACACACACGCACCACACACACATGCACCACACACGCATGCACCACACACACATGCACCACACACACGCACCACACACACACAACACACACATGCACCACACACACGCACCACACACACACATGCACCACACACACACATGCACCACACACACACATGCACCACACACACACAAGCACCACACATGCCAGGCACACACATGCACCACACACACACATGCACCACACACACACGCACCACACACGCGCCACACACACACACGCACCACACACACACAAGCACCACACAAGCACCACACCACACATGCACCACACACACAAGCACCACACACACACACCTCACACACATGCATCACACACGCGTACAAGTCCGACTCGTCGATCAAGCGCGGGGATAATGTCAAGAAGTGCACGCACTTGCGTGCACTTCTTGACACAGCATGCACTTTCTGACAAACAGGTGGTCGGAGTGTGCACTTCTTGACATTATCCCTAAAAAAAACTGTCCTCTTGTCCAAAGTGTTCTCACATTCAATGTCTCTACTGTAATCTCCGCATTCGCCATTCTATTTTCTGTTGTTTTGGAATTTGGCTGCTTTGTTTTCTGATGGTGTCCGTAGCTACTGCTGCTGCTTTCCAGTCCTCTAGACATGTAAATATTTTACAGCCAATTAAGGCATTGTCGTCATTGGTCTGTTTGACGTCATTACGTGTATTTTTTTAATTATTAAATTCCCATTCAATTATACAGTCGGAAATACACTTTTTTTTAAAATGAAAGTTACTTATGTACCACTTTATTGTAGGCCTATATATACCGACTACAAGTTTCCCTTGACATTTAAATGTGTCTATATAGGTTCTATATGTCAGGGAGACGTGGTTGATGACTCCATATTTAAACAACAAACTGGACACCTTTGACCGGTGGTCCTTCCGATGGATACTTCAGGTACACTTCAGCGAGCATATCACAAATTCTTAAGCCCGTCATCAAGCAGCACGTCAGCCGGTGTCTGACATCATACCAGGAGGCTGCAGCTCTTGCAGACACATTGCCCGTGCTAACATGTTGGAAGATCCGCGCAATTATCGATGGCCTTGCTCGAGATTGGACGCTGCCCAGGGGCAGGCCGAGGTTGACCTGGATGCACACCGTTGGGGCCGATCTCAGACATCGTAATCTTAGCCTACACCTGGTGTGGCATCGGACGCATGAGAATGGCATGCCCAGGCGATGTACAGTATTGAGGACCGCTACGCCTCCTCTTGGGGCATGCGACTAATTGATTCAAATGGGTGCTTATCTGATATGCACCCGATCTTGTCAGATGATCGCAGAAGCTAAGCAGATTTTGAGACTGGATATCACCTGAATGGGCAATCACCGTGCACAGCAGGTTGTCAAAGGCTGCTACAGCAGACTACGCTGTGGTCGATAGAAGGTAGTGCAGCAAAATCCAATATTGTATTGTACTACTATGCTTCCATATCTATGCCCCCTGCTTCACTCACTAGGCTGACTGACATGAAATCTAGTAAAATAACTATTTCGACCTGCACGGTACGGGGAGGATTTTTGTCCAGGAGAGGGTTTGCAAGAGAGCTGAACATATACTGTTCCTCATAGTGGCAGTTATTTAACATGACAGCCGAAAAGCACCGATCACAATAATTATAACGAGCACCCGCGGTATGACGATCTGTGATTGGTGGAAGGAGATGAGGAGACATGGTCCGAGATGTCACAAAAGGCGATTGACAACTGGCAATTAGGTGACAGTAATGAGGGGAGGGGGAGGAAATGGGAGAGGGACCTGTGGGGATAAAAAGGCACGTCGGAAGAGGGATGTGAGGAGAGAGCTGTGGATGAAGGAGGTGGCTGTGTTTTACAGAGGTGGAATAAACGGATTTGAACCTTGACCTGTCTCGGCGTGTTTGTGAGGAGAGTGTCCGCGACAGTAGAATGGGAGTAAAGCAACCAAATTTATGAGAGACCCCTTTGGCCTCCTCCATCCAAAATATATCCTCGTGCAAAGAATATGGCAGGCAGTGTCAACCAACGGTAAGGAAGCATATGCCCAAAGTATAACATTTTCCAAGACACCCACGTGTTCTCTGTCTCCACCTCACCCCGCAACCCCGTTCAATAACTAATAATGGAACTGAGAAACCATCAAACACATTACACACATAAACTAAATTTAATGTTATATTATAATCCATAAATCTAATTCAGGGCCTCATTGGACTCTCACAGCTCGGCTGAGCGGCTCCCAGGCTGCCAAAACTTGCGGCTAAACATGATGCGGATGGCGTTACGAAATGTGCGGTTGAAGCCCCCGTATAGGTAAGGGTTGATGGCTGAATTGACGTGCCCGAACCAGTTCACGATGTCCCAGAAAATGGAATTTGTTTTAAAATCGATCCAGGGATCATTGACGATGGTTGAAAAAAATGGCGCCCAGCAGAACATGAAGACGCCCAGGATGATGGACACGGTCTTGGTGGCGTTGTGCTCTCGTTTCATGGCCGCCCACTGCTGCTTGTTGAAGCCCGACTTGCCCTGACCCCCTTGCTGCTGAACGCTGATGGAGCGGGCCTGCTTGCGTGCCACGCGGTAAATCTTCGCGTAGGCAAGGGTCATGATCGTCATGGGCACCACGAAACTGAAGAAGGCCCCACAGCTCGAGAACACCTTGTTCATGTAGAAGACGCAGTTGTCTGGACAGGTGCGGCTGGCCATCATGTCCTCAATGCCAATGACAATCCATCCCAGCATCACGGGCACCACATAGAGCAGCGACCCAAGCCATGCGGCAGCAAGAAGCAGGGCTGCCGTTTTCCAGGTGAAGCGCTCTCGATAGTGCATCGGGTCGCAAATGGCCAGGTAGCGGTCATAAGCGATGCAGCAGAGGTGCATGGTGGAGGCGGTGGAGATGAAGGCGTCAAGGAAGTGGTGCACCTTGCAGAACGCGTGGCTGTAGAACCAGCAGTCGTAGACGCACTGTGTCATGTAGAAGGGCATCACCACCACACCCACCATGATGTCGGCCACCGCGAGGGAGAAGGTGAAGGTGTTGGGCAACACCTGCAGCTGCTTGAAGTAGGAGATGGCCGTGATGATGGTCATGTTCCCCAAGAAGTTCAACACCATGGAAACGATCATGGCGATGAAGATTATGTTGGCGGTGCGTGCGGACAGTCGTGCCGGGCGGCAGCGGAGACCGGACTCCCGGATCAGGCAGAGCAGTGGCTCCACATGGGAGGCATTGTGGCCAGGATCCCCGTCCATGAGTCCCAGAGCCAGGCTAGAGTTCATGGTCCCCCCTTCGAACGTCTCAAGTGTCCAGCGTCTCAATCAGTCAAGGGGCTTTGCTCGCTTTACAGTTGCTCGTTCGCCAACTTGTCCACTGTTCCTTGCATGCATTTGTCTCACCCCTCTCATTCACCCAGCGTCAGTGTCTGGGGCAAATAAATCCTATAGCTCGTGATCGTCTCTGTTTCTTACAAGTTTGGGAAAATGAAAAGCATCCTCTAAGATGTTTGGCCACTTCCTGTCCTTGAGCATTCGGTGTGTCCACTTGTAGGAGGAAATCGGAAGTCCTGGAGAAAAACCTGCAACCATTCGAGGGGAGAGCAATAAAAACTCAGCAATAGATATATCTTCTCAGTAACCTACTTCATATTCTGGGTCAGATTCAGCCAAATTCTAATGTAAAGCTAAATACTATAGTTGTTATTGTCATATCTATGGTACATATTTGCCAGTATCAAATTTATGAAATATAAGAATAGGTTTTACACTTTCTGGCAATAAAATAGATGTTAGATACCTTTTTCAAGGCATCAAGTCTCCATACCTGCGGCAAAACATGTAAACAAACATGCTCTGATAATATATGCATTACCCTTGAAACTGATTGGCCTACAGCTCTCTGGTACCTAATTTGGTGTTTGAACATCTTAACACCTGTTTTATTGCCAGAAAGGATAAAATATTTTATTTTTCATCAATTGTTATGGTTTTTGTCGATAAACTTCTAAGACTGTTTCCCTCTGTCTCCCTGTATTTGTATTTTGTCCTCTGATTATATCTTTCTGTATCATAGCCTAAAGCATTGTGCAATACAACTAGTTATTGAAGAACTGCATGAATAATAATATTTAGTTGGATATAGCGTTGTGCATGTCGATTGACTCTCACACTCGCTGAGACACCACGGAAAAGCTGGCAGGCAGCCAGGGGGGAAGCCGTAGTCCATCTCTGTCTCCCTATAGTTCTCTCTGGGACTGGGTCCGCATCATGCTTGTCCCCTTGTCTTCCTCTGTCTATTCTATGTCTCCTATGTCTCTCTGCTAGGAAAATAATTGTCAGAGTAAGAGGACATGGTTCCAGATTTCATACTTGAAGAAGTAACCATTGCTTTTGGCAGTATTAAAACAGGGAACGTTCTTGTACCATATGGAATGAGTTTAACACGTTGGCTTTCACGACCAGTATTATTCATAATAAAGGTTTTTTAGTTAGATCGCGTTATTTATAAATGTGTCGCAACCCTCCAAAACCCGATACGGTCAATCATTAAAAATGTGTCACGTTGACAAAAGACAAATAGTTCACTACTTTAGCCCACCGGTGTGTTGAAGAGTAGATCCACACCATTTACAATTTGAGTACGACGTTTTATTATGAACAGATGGAATGACTGCATCATAGACAAGACAAGTGGTATCAGCTGTTGCAACACAACGAGTGGATCGATTTACAACGAAATGTTTACACGAACAAATTCCTTATTTGCCACGATAATTTTTTTGCAATTTAAATAGAGAATTTAATACAAGCTTTTGTGACCAATATTATCCATAAGAGGTTGTTTTGGGTTAAATCGAGTACATATAAATGTGTGATTAAACCCCCCACCACCCGGCACAGGCAATTAATAAGGTTTCTCACGTAAACAAGACATACAAATTAGTTACTAGTTTAGCACATCGGTGTGTTAGAGAGTAAAACCACAACATTTACAATTCGAGTACGACGTATCGCTGGTAATTACAATTAGTATCATCAAGTGACAGCCAAATTTATGGAGAAATACTCCTGTTTCAAAAAGCATCTATTAAACAAACCTTATTTGGAACATTACATATGCGTACAAAGTGTTATTGAAGATCATAAGGGAATAAGCGACAATTCGGAGGTTACAGTTATCCCGCGGACCTTGGTTTGGACAGCTTTTCAATACAAATATTTAATAATGTACAGAGTGTCTTAATACGATAGACATTGGTAGATGCTGTACAGAACCACCACTCTACTGATATCATATAATGCGTGAAGAAACACCACGTACCTTAGACACTTTCCAACGTGAGTTATAATTCGTTTATTTTCGGTTAGATCGTGTAGGTATAATGTAAATTAATTTAAATCATAACCCTCTACCACCCGGCAGAGTCAATCAAATTGAGTTTTCACGTTGGGGCAAATTAGACAAATGATTTGGATTGTCAGCAAAACCCGGAGGAGGAATGTTGACGTTGGTGGGTTTTTTTTAATTGACGTTTCTCTGGGGACTACATACAGCAATATCGCGTGTGAACAAAAAGCTCGGCTCCTAATCACGGTGGATGTAATCTCCAGCGAAACGTCGATTAAAATAACAATTGTCAACTTGGTATTCGCTTTCCAACATTTCTCCTCCTCCGGTTTTGAGAGAAACACTAAATCATTTGGCGTATTTGCCCCGACGTGATATCTTTCATTGATTATGTCGGGTGGTGGAGGGTTAAAATTTATACATATATTTTTTTACATTTTACATTCCACGACGATCCAACCCAAATGAAACCTAATAAGAATCATAAAAATTGGTTGTGAAAGAACTACGTGTCAAAAAATACCCAGTGACTTAGCACATATACCAGTAAAAGGCTACATTTAATAGAATTAAAATGGTAGTAAATGTTAAGATCGAAAAACACACTCTCCGGCTAGATGTGTAAAGACATACATTCTTATAAGGGAGAACATTTAACATGTAAGACACGATCATACACAAGCTATATGCGACATACGCACACAGAGACGTGTATAGCAGATGCTATCACACATTAACATAGACTAGATGTATACAACAACCGCCATTCGCCACTAAGTGGCGGTGACGTCACCACGACGCTTGTGCCAGGCCATGTGCACCTTGAGGCCACGTGAAGTGTCGAACGCCCGCTGGCAGGAGGTCACGGGGCAGACCCAGGTGCCACGGGTCGACTGACTGAGATGACTGGCTGATGCACCACCTGTGCCCCCTACTGTGCCAACCTTCTGTGCTTTAGCCACCCGGCGCTCCGCTCGTTGTTGTGAGCGTCGCTCCTCCGCCCTCCGTTGTCGTTGGAGGGCGACTGCCTCTAACTGCCCAATAGCGTCCTTCACGAGCCTCCTCCACAGAGGCCGATCTTGACACTGCTGGTACCAGTCATCAGCAAGTCTACTCAGCTCCATGTCCTCCTGTACCACATCACTCCATCTCTTCTCTAGCCCGTGCCGTGCCCGATTAGCCCCCTTGATCCGGCCGAACAAAAGCTGGTTCAGCATGCGGTGGCTGGGCATGCGGGCTACATGACCCAGCCAACGCAGCCTTGCCTGCCGGAGGAGCTCACCGATGGGACCTTGCCCAGATCTTTCAAAGATTTGTGAGCTCCTCACACAATCCAGCCTGGTTAAACCCAGGATGGATCGTAGGCAGGCTAGCCTAAATGTTTCTAACCGGCGAAGATGTTCCATTAAGGGGGTCCACGTTTCGCAAGCGTAGAGAAGGGAGGGAATGACCGTGGCCGAGAAGACCTGAAGCTTAGTGCAGAGCGACAGACCAGGTAGCTTCCACACAGCGTTACGCAACCGATGAAAAGATATTGCCGCTCGACTGATTCGGAGTGAGACCTCTGCTGTTAAACTGGAGCCGACTTAAATATATAACTAGATGTATAGTATACATACACACAAACACAAAGTCCCCCGTGTAACCGTTAACAGACTGTTGGGGCGAGTGCTGTGACCGTAAAGAGCACACACGGGGATGGTGTGGCCAGCACCACGCCTGGCCACTTTTGTTTCTCCGGTATTGGTACTTACCACACACCGCACCGGGTTTTCATTTAAGGCTGAATCGACCTAGGGGAGGCCCAGGACCTGTTCAGATATCCGTCATTAACAAAACTATAAACAATTTTTATTTTACCAGGTAAGGTGCACTGCGCTATGTAGCTGTTTTTTTTAGAAGCGACCTGGCCGCATATGATAGCTCAACGAAGTGCTTTATGATGTGGAAATGTATAGCAGCCAAATACTCTAAACGCATGATTAAAAATGTGGAGGGAAACACCGGAGAAAAATCCACGCGACCATGGGGAGAGAGAGAGAACACACAAACTCCCAAATATACACACGACCTCCTGTATACCAAGTGAGGAAGTTAACATCCCACCACCGCGGCGCCGGTTCGTAGCGCAGTGCACGAACCATTCCACCACCGCTCTCCACACACCAACGCACACATGTACACAGATAGTCTATAACTCGCCAATGATAAATGCGATACAATACGAGACTATATAAACACGGGGGAGCAGTGGTGCTGTGATTAGCGCACTGCGTTACGAGCTGGGTGACCGGATATAACGTCAGTTAAATCATCTTCGATCAGCGCGGTTGGCTTCAGTCGGTGCGAAAGAAGTTCAACATACATCAGTGGCAAGTGGTGTCTTACTGGTCCTGGGCAACCGCCCTTCACCAACCTGTATTGACCAGCGTGGTGAAGTATGGTTAAGCAACCCCCACGACTGAGAGCTTGACATTGACAATGGACTGTAAATTATGACACAAATACACGCATTGACATATTCAATACGCGCATGGAGACAGTATACACGGATAGACATATAGAGACACTATACACGCATACCCAATTAATAACCACAGAGAGCCTACGTGTTAAATAGACAGACACGTATTTATAACATTTACATCCATTTATCAATCGACTGCTGGGTTTTGATTCCCTCTATGCCGTGTTGTTTCATTATACTTCACCAGACAGACAGAAGTAACGGAGTTCCCACACACTACTAAGATACAACTGACACATAGGGGGAGCGGTGGTGCAGTGGTGAGCGCACTGCGCCACGAACCTGGCGACCTGAAGTCCATTCCCGAGCAAGACCAACATCATTGGCGAGGGATGTGAACCGGTCCGCTATAGCCTTGAACAGACTGGTGGGGAAAGTGCTGGTAACGAGCGCCTATGAAGATTGGCACGCCACACAAGGTGGTGTGGACAGCACCACGCCCGGCCGCCTTTCTCTCCCTAGTGGCGATGTTTACACACCGCACCAGCTGCTCATTTGAGGCTGAATCGACCTAGAGGAAGCCCATGACTAATTTATCTCGTCATTGGTATCGGCCGTGAACAGGTATCGAACTCGGGGCGCCGGGTTCGCAGTGCGCTAACCACTGCACCACCGCTCCCCCCCCCACACACAGAGTGACACACTGAAGCAAACAAGCAGTGCATACAGTACTCGCCTAGCGGAACGAGCCACGATCGAGGGACATTCCCGCGGAGATGGAGCGATTAAAGCGGCTCTTGAGGTATGATGAAGGGCTTGGAGGGGTAGGGCAGGAGACCTTCATCCAGCAGTGGATAGACCACGGCTAATGGCGATGCTATACGGGGTTACGCTTACCTGGCCCACATGGGAAACCGTAGAGAACGCGTGGACGTGAACATCGACCTCGCTCCACAACACGCGGTGTCGTATTTACTGCCTCGTCTGCAATATCCTGTGGGTCTGACTGTTGATTCTGAGCGAGCAATTCGTCCTCCTTTTTTGACATCAGATGCGGATTTTATTTCAGCACATTTATTAAAAATACACACAAAGACACCCCGTATAACCTATATAGACACGGCGTGTTGTTTGCGAGCTCCTATTCTTGTCGTTGACGAATGAGTCTGTTTTTATTAGCCGGTGAGGCAAGGGCATCGACCTCTGTTGGGGATGCTGGGGTCAGATCCGCGCCTCTCTGCCTCTCTCCCTCCGTTCGTGACGATTCAAAACTCACGGCAACGTGAATACTATTTAAGGCCGAGTCGACCTAGACGAGTTATCGTCGTCGTCGGTGCGGAGGGTTTGCTCGCGGTGGCCCCCCCTTCCGCCTCCTGCCCCTCGCCCGACCCCCTTTGTCTTCCCAGTACAATGATGGCTCGTTACTTTTCAGCCCCCCAGCGTTCTGCTGACCCTCAGCTACGACCATGGCCTATCCCAACACCTAGTCATCAATCCCTCTTGTACTACCGTCATCAACACTACACCACCACTACAATAACCCAATTATTAATTTCAATTCATGGTCATCCAATGTATGTTATGATTGCTCTAAAGCGCCTTGGTAAAGGTGCTTTATATACAGTATCTTGAGAAGATAAGATCGGTTTAGGTAAATGACTTGCAACGGAGTCTAACCCAGGTTGACCGAGATCGCAGTGCAGTTGGCGAAACACGGTGCCACCACGCTCCTGGGTTGAACTCGGATCGCCTGTTTTGTTGCGCGGTGCTGCACACCCCCACACAGACGTGAAATGAAGACAAAGACCGCTCCCTATAATAGACTGTTGGGGCAAGTGCTGCACACGATGGGGGTGGGTGGCCAGCATCATGCCCGGCCGCCTTTGTCTCCCCAGTGCTGATGTTATTAACGCTGCCCCATTTGCTCATTTAAGACCGAGTCGACCTAGAGGAGGCCCAATATTGATCAAAATATTCGCCACTGTTGTTGGTCGTGAGCGAGAAAGAACTGGGGTCGGCGGATTCGTAGCACTGCGCGCTAACGTGCGACGCTACAGCTCCCCACACAAACGCACAACATGTCACTACAACAACCGCCGTTCTCCCCTAAGTCGCGGTGACATCCTCACGGGGCTTGTGCCAGGGTAGGTGCACCTTGATGCCACGTGAAGTGTCGAAGTCTTGCTGGCAGGTCATTGGACAGACCCAGGTGCCATGGGTTGACTGAGATGACTGGCACCTGTGTTCACCACTATGCCAACTTGCTGTGTTTTGGCCGCCCGGCGCTCCGCTCGGTGTTGTGAGTTTCGCTCCTATGCCCTCCGTTGTTGCTGGAGGGCGACTACCTCCAACTGCCCAGTAGCGTCCTTCACGAGCCTCCTCCATAGAGTCCGATCTTGACGCCGCTTGTACCAGTCATCGGCAAGTCCACTCAGCTCCACATCCTCTAGTACCACATCAGCCCCATCTCTTGTCTAGCCCGTCCCGCGCCCGTTTCATCTCCCTTTATTCGGCTAAACAGAAGCTGTTTTGGCATGTGAGCTACACGATCCAATCATGCCTGCCGGGGGGAGCTATTTGATGGGACCGTGTCCAAATCACCATTGGAAACCTCATTTGCCACTAAAAAAATATGATAATTGTTTTTTTACCCTTTTATCTGGCAACAAAACTGACACCTTTTTTACAAGGAGTCATGTTTGCATTGACCACAATACCTGCGGTCGGAACGCAATCAAAAAACAACTCTGATAATGTATGCACTGTCCTTGAAATTGATTGGTCCACACCCGAGACAGCTTTCTGTCGTTCCGACCGCAGGTATTGTGGTCAATGTAAACATTACTCCTTGTAAAAAAGGTGTCAGTTTTGTTGCCAGATAAAAGGGTAAAAAAACAATTATCAATTATCGTGTCCAAATCGTTAACGTGTGGAGTGACAGACCAGGTAGCTATCACAGCGTTATGCAGCTGATTAAAGATAGTGCAGCTCACCTGGTCACAAGAAACACACCATACCGACAAATTACCTTCATTATAGCTGAAGGTATAACAAGACAAAGATCCCCCGTATAACCTTAACAGACTGTTGGGGCAAGTGCTGTTAGCGAGCACCTATGAAGGCCGGCACGGCACACGAGGGGGTGGGTGGCCAGCACCACGCCCGGCCGTTAAGGTATAACAACGCCACGTACACGGAACTCCCGTATAGACTTTTACAAATTATTGGGGCAATTGATCCTCGCGAGCCCAAATTAAGGCCGGCACGGCACACGAGTAGGTGGTGTAACCAACACCGTACGCTATTGTCTCCCATGTTTACACATCGCACTCGTGTTAATTCATTGCATTCCGATTTCACCTCGGAGAGGTTCTGGACTTGTTCAGATGTCACTCACCGCCGATGTTTGCCGTGAACGTGAATCGACAAAGACCGATCACCGAGTTCGTAGCGCGGCGCGCTTACACACGTACAACCATTGTAACAACAATGGGCACTATTCGCCACTAAGTAAGCGGTGGCGGCACTACAGCGCTTGTGCCAGGCTAGGTGCACACATTGGCACACACCCCCTATACTTCCCTCTCAAACTACTCTGGTTCTTAAGCAGCTTCGTACAGGCTCATGTAACACATACAAAGACAAAGATCTCCCGTATCGCCTTAACAGACTGTACGAGCAGATCGTATGAGAAAATCAGAATATGCATTTATACAGGAGGAATCCTATGAGCTATTAAGCTCTTTTTCACAGATGTCCATAAGGGGCATGGGGTAAGAACGTTACAACAACAAACCATACACAAACAGGAGAGCAGTGCAAAGTACAAGAAAGTTAAACACCCAAACACATACAAATCAAGCTAAACCATCGCCATCCTAATAGGAAAAGCCCCCTCCTGCCACCCCATCCTACCAGACAAAGGAGGGGTGGGTGGCCAGCACCACGCCCGGCCGCCTTTTTCTCCCCAGTGGCGATGTTTACACACCGCACCAAGTACTCATTTGAGGCCGTGTCGATCTAGGGCCGGTTCAAATAATCACCACTGGTGTTGGCCGTGAGCCGGAATCGAACACGCGTTGCCGGGTTTGTAGCACAGCGCGCTAACTGCTACACGACTGCTGATCAGTGCCGGATTTTTCTAGTAGCAAAAGTAGCTACACATGTAGTAGCTACGGGCCCCGCATTTTCAAGGGTCCCGCATTTTCAAGGGTCCCGCGTTAAATGCTTTCAAGCTATTAATTTCGGTTCAGTGAATCTGCCCTTGCTCTATTACTATAGTACTATACTGCCTTCAACTATTATGAACGAGTGGGTGATTAAGGTTAGCGATTTGTCGTGTTTTCTGGCTGTATAGCAAATGAAAAAATACAATTACTTTACTATGCAAGTAAAATATTAGTTTTAATGTTTACGGTTTTTTTTTATTTAGGGCCCCTTTATAACATATGCTACAGGCCCCGCACTAGCTTAATCCGGCACTGCCGCTGCTCCCCATTCACCCATAACCGTAACCCCTGACATGCACACGGCAGGGCTCGCGGTGCCAACACAAGGCAAGTTACAACTCTGTATGGACAGCAGAACGATAGGAAGAGAGTCTCACCCAACTTCCTCTAAGCCTTCGGATCACTCGGGACCCAAGCCTCCTTCACCTCCAACCCGGGACTCCCGATTCTAAGAACCCCTGACACCATCTCGAGCAAAGCGTCTCCTGCTCGCCGCATTTAAACTTCTCGTCCTAATTTTTCCACTTGAACAATGACGTGGTTGACTCGCCCCCGCCCCTCTTCCTCCCCCCCACCTCCCCCTCAGAGGGGAGGTGGGGGGGAGGAAGAGGGGGGGGGCTGTCCATAAATAATTGAAGCAATTAAACATAACTTAATTGCTCAGTTGTAATCACTGGCGATTTGGGATTGGGAGAGTGGTCACAGGTGTGTGGCCCCCCGTGTATTCGGTCTTCATCCCCCAAAGCCATTAGCCGATAGCACCTCCTATAATTGATCACCGGGGGTGTGACCCCCCTGAGTAATTCCGTGCGGTCAACAACAACAGTATAACAAGTTAGATCTTTACGGGCTCATCTAATTCCAAATATATAACAGCCCTAAAGACGAGGTCGGTGTTTGGAGTCCTCCGGCTACAGGGGAAGTGGATTTTGGGTTGATTTTTCGGGGGGTCAAAATATGCGAGTGGTATTTTGGTCTCAGGTATTTAATCGGCGTTAACATGCACATGCATGTCAAAACAATCGTCAATAACGCTGTATGTGTGAGGCCTTAAAAGGAACATATATAATAGGTGACGTTTCGAGCAACGGACCTTCTTCATAGCACGTAATAATGTGAAGGGTCATTTCCCGAAGCGTCGCACATTGTAAATGTTTCCTTTTGCGGCAAATGTGTTCGAGTTGTTTTTTGTTATTTATGCGCCACTGCCAACGCAGCAGCAGCATCACCACCAGATGACGTGCTTTGTATTAAAACTGGTCGAATCGTGACATCGCAGGACCATGAGATGTTACTTAAGTCCTTCAACCAGTGGTGTATCGATCATGGCTGATGACAATGATCCAAACCCGTAGTTTTAACTGCCACGCAGGGAGATCGAACCGCTGACCCCTGGATTGTATTGTCCTGTGTGCTGACCACGACACCGCTGTGACAGCGATGGACCAAACCTGGTCATTTCCGTAAAGCAGAGTCAGGTGTATATATTTTTACACCTTTTTGGGCCCAGAGTAAACATTGGTGCAGTTGGAGGCAGCATCACCCGAGGGATGCAAACGTCTTTACAGCGGCCAATAAAAGTTCATTGGTGGAGTGTTATGGAAAAAAAAACGTGAACAAACATTTCCCTTTGACGTTAAAGATAACTTTACCGTAGGTTTAAGTGAAACACTGGAAAAATCCACAACCACGTGTGGTGAGCACTATCCGTGGAAAAAACCGGCTTTAACTTTTTGCAGGCCTCGGACCGTACCCATTGATTTGAAAATGAAATGTCTTCATCACACGATTCACCCACCCTTCAGTGGGCTGCTTCAAAAATATTGGGAGTAATAATTTAAACTTTGAACTCGCTGCCGGACAGGATTCATTCTCTCGGAGAGAGACAACGACAGAAAATTGGGAAGGCAGCAATAAGGTGATGAGTTGGCACCAACAGCTGCCCAAGCCCCGCGGTCCTCTACATATGTATTCAGGTGTTATCGGTCAATTAATGGGTGCTTACATGTGGGAGGAAACCAGAGCACCCGGAGAAAACCCCACGCTTGCGAGGGGGAAACGCTCTATCCCCGTACAGATGGAACAGGTGGTGTCGACACTCTTGCTGTACCGCCTTCTCCTGGCAAAGCCAGCGGTACGGCTCCTCCTCGACGCCCACGGGAATTGAGTTTTACAGCAGCGTCTGCCGTTGTGATCCACCAGCCCTCTCTGCTGCCTCCACAGCGCTGGGTTACAGGGCACGTGGATAGCCACCACCGCTCAGCTCAACCTGAGTGCACAAACTACACCCCATGCATGACACCTCGTTGGGTTATACATCAACCTACTTGTTGCACTACCTATACACAGAGGGCGTTTTTTAATCGCGGAAAGTTAACGGCTTTCAATTAATACAACTCAGCGCGGGAAAAAAACATTTTTAAAAAAATATACTGTATTTAAAATCTTGATTTGAAGTTTTCGTGACTGCAGGAATCCATACTCTTTGGTTCTTTCGGTAAAGTCACGTAGTTAGTTTTATTTCTAACTGTGTGACTTTACCGAAAGAACCAAAGAGTATATTTAAAATGTAATCAGAAACCCCCATTGCAGAAGTTGTACGTGCACTGTTTTTTTTCCAGGGAGACATTTAGAAAGTTGATCCCACCAGCCGCTTAAAACGCAGCATCTCGACACACGCTGCGAGTCTGTTGCCAAGTGAGTGAAACAATACGAATGACATTCTGACCAAGAACACCAAAACTTCACTTAAAGCTTTCGTGACTGCAGTAATTCATATACTGTTTTAAAGGTTTAGAATGGATGTAGCCCAAAGGTTACAAAGTGGAAATCTCTCACATTAACATAGCTAGCCCCGCCCACAACATGCTAATCTCTCTCATTAATATCACTAGCCCTGCCCACTTGGTTTATGATCCTTGGGCTACACCCATTCTAAACCTTTAAAACAGTCTGCCTCAGTAGCTTTACTCTATTTTTCTTCCTGACGACGATCGCTTGTGTTGTGATCGAAACGTCGTAGTTTTTTTTATTTCAACCTATCTACGTGACTTTAACGAAAAACCCAAAGAATATGAACACCAAAACTCCCTCTGGAGGACACTGAGTGGTGGGAGTGGGGAGGAGGGAAAACCTCGGATCTGACACCACGGCACGCCTCTTGTCATCGTAACGGCAACAATTATTCCTCTCGTTCATCATCGTGGTCGGTAGCGCGAGCCAGGGTCAATCCACTGCTGGACGGAGGCTCGCTACAACCACCACGACGATGAAGTTAGGCCAAATATTCTGGATGCGAAACAATTACCCCAGCAATGTTCGTCAATAGCACTGCCTTGGAAATGCTAAATAAATAAATGCCTACGGGATACGAAAAAGGCCACCGTGTTGTCGGCGGGCGCGTTTTGTGATTTGTTGTTTGTGCACCACTGCCTTACGCAGTGAGAGACAATCCCGCACTTTTAACTAAATCGGTCACTTGGTGGATAAACTCTGCGCATATTCTGTTTCCTCGGGAATAGTTTTATACTGCGCTTTACTTATGTATGTTTGATCTTGAACTTCTGTCGCACCGTACGTAGCCAACCGTGCTGACAGGAGGTATTTGAGCTGTCTTCACGCTCCCTGGGGGGGGGGGGGGTGCCCGGGGGGGTGTGCCCCTGCTGTCTCTGTAAGGGGATGGGGACACGATGGCTCTTGCTTCCTCTTCCTCGTGGGCGAGGAGTGGTCCGCAGCGCGCCGTCCTGAGCTGAGCTACCGAGAAGGCAGCGGCGGCGTCGTGCCACCTTCCCTCTCGATCACTGCAGTGGGGGAGGGGCTCACGAGAGAGACCTGGGCTTGCTGCAGCCGCCTCCATCATTTTGATTATTTCTCTGCTATAAATGTCCACGTGATGAGCCACTTCGTTGAGCTGTCATTTGTGGCCAGGTCGCGTCTGAAAAATAGGTTGATAGCTCAGTGGGCTTTAATGGGTAAGATGAAAATAATTATATTCTTAGTTTTTTCGGTAAAGTCACGTTGAAGAGAAACAACAAAATAACAAAATATATATAAAACAATAAAAAATTCTCACGACGTTTCGACCATAACTCAAACGGTCATCATCAGGTGTGGCGGTTTGCATAAATTTATTTTGAAAACGGCATATTTATTTATATATATAAAAAAATAACGTTTGCGTCACGCGCAACGATGGCAGTTTGCCCAGGACTAGTCCATCTATTTTTTGAAAAGAGGAGGGGGGAGACGAAATTTGTTTTTATGTATGCTGTCTGAAAGCCACTGTAAGCGTGAACAATCAATCAAGAAGTGAAATGATTTATCAAATCTTTCCAATGATTGCTAAGATAGAATCCATCTTCTCGGTTGAAATTGTCTCTGTGTTTGTATATGTGGATAGCCTCATGAACGAATCTCTCATGGAAGCCAGATGGCTTACAAAGAACCTCCGTCTTGGAAAAGTCAATGGCATGTGAGCCTACTGAATTAGAACAATGATCTGCTACGGCCGAGGTGTTGGTCCTACCGTGTTTAAGGTCTGCTTTATGTTCACGAATGCGGTCCGAGATATGGCGTTTGGTTTCTCCAATGTAACTACTACCACAGAGGCAACTTAGTTTGTAGACACCAGGGTATTGTATGTCCGGAATCACATCTTTTACAGACGGAACCAGATCACGGATTTTATGTAATGTGTTGAAACGGACCTGGATCTTGTGTTTATTCAAGATTTTGGAGATCTTTTTTGTGATCCCAGCAATGTAGGGTAAAGTGATGGTTTTGAAAGGCTCCTCAAGAGGGTTCTTCTTCATGGTTTGAGTGATAGCTTTGCGGATTGTATAGTCGGAGTAACCATTAGCCCTAAGAACTTGGTGTACGTGCTTGAGTTCACTGCTTATGTGTTCCTGGTCGGATATGCATTGGGCTCTATAATACAGAGTCTTGATGAGAGAATTCTTCTGTGATGGATGGTGGTGGGAATCCGGTTTCAGATAAGCATCCGTATGGGTAGCTTTCCTGTAGACAGAGTGGCTCATTGAACCATCAGGTCTCTTTTTAATTAGGACATCCAAAAAAGGTATCTTGCCATCTATTTCGACTTCCATGGTAAATCTGATGGCTGGGTGTATGGAATTGATGTGGTCGAAGAATTGGTCTAGAGCAGGCCGGCCATGTGGCCAGATGACAAAAGTGTCATCCACGTACCTCTTCCATAAGGTTGGGCGCAGAGTGGCAGTCTGGATGGCGTCAGTCTCAAATTTCTCCATGAAAATGTTAGCTATAACTGGAGAAAGGGGGGAGCCCATTGGGGTGCCCTCAGTTTGTTTGTAGAAAGTTCCATTCCAAGTGAAGTATGTATTGGTTAAACAGTGTCTCACCAGGGGGGGTACCTCAGTGTTTAGTCCTTGATGAACCAAGTCTTCAATGATTGCAATGGTGTCAGGTACAGGAACCTTGGTGAATAAGGAAACTACATCAAAACTGACAAGCAGGTCGTCTGGGGACAGGGAAATACCCTTGATTGTTGA